TAGGGTTTAGGGTTTAGGGTTTCAAGGTTTAGGGTTTAGGGTTTCAAGGTTTAGGGTTTAGGGTTTAGGGTTTTAAGGTTTAGGGTTTCAAGGTTTAGGGTTTAGGGTTTCAAGGTTTAGGGTTTCAAGGTTTAGGGTTTAGGGTTTCAAGGTTTAGGGTTGAGGCCTTAGGGTTGAGTGTTGAGGCTCTAGGGCCTCTACGGATTAGGATTTAAGACTCAGGGCTTAGTGGCTGAAGGAATTCAGGGCTTAGTGCATTGCAGTCCCTGCTCAAAAAAAAAAGGGTTTAGTGTTGAGGCTTTCGGGTGTCAGGGTCACAGGGTGAAGATAGGTTTCATATCAGACTGTCAGATGCCCGAAATGGACAGTGTCGCGGAGGTCCCGAACCTAGAAGCATCCAGAAGCAGCAAGGTCAGAAGCATCGAGGTTGAAATGCCCACGTCGGGAGTTACGATTGAGATGCAGCTGGAGACAATGCGCAAGCAGTTGCTTTGATTTTCTCAGAAGATACGGGGGCTTGCTTGAAATCACAGGTCGTAGGCCAAGCCTTTCAGTGTCTCCAGTTACTGTTGCTGCCAGTTTTCGGTTGTCGTTACCGACGCTTTGTCCCGGGATTTCTCCATACTCAGACTTCACACAGTTTGCCTATCTTCCGCCTCTGTTGGGAGTTGCTTCCGCCCCTCTATCCCAAACTTTGCCGTGGCGCTGTAACGTGATGGGCTTTGAGGTTTCGTGCCCAATATGCATCGATCACATACTCGCACCGCCGGCCCGGGATGTCATGACATGAGCCCAGGTTCGAGTCGGATCTTCTGCGGGTCCTCGAGCGCGTGCAGGCGTGCCGGAATAGTTTGTCTATGGGGTCTCTGCCTCTCTGCAGGTAGTAGACTGAGTTCCTGCCGCTGCTCTGAAAGAGCGAGAATTGAATGATCCTGCATCGCATCTACTCATGTGCAGATCAGCACAGATTGCAGATTGAAGTGGGGAACTCCGAGACAGGGATGGGTCGGATGGTTCAGTCTGCGCAAGGGCCGGGGTTACTTGTTGGAGATGGGAAGGTGCTTCTGACAGGGCTTATAGGGTCTGATCGGTTCCCGGGCTTCGGAGGGCTATGGTGCGGTAAGATGCATTGAGCACTCCTAGACCTGGTATAGCGGGTTTTGGTTTAGGGTTTAGGGTTTAGGGTTTTGGTATATTCGAGGGAACAGAATGTCCGGACGCAATCTCTGAACCTTTGCATGTCTTGCTCTGAGCTTCTAAATCACCACCTGGCCCTGGCCCTAAACGTTAAAAACTTGACCCGCACATGGATCCTCGCCTGGCTTGTCCGAGTTGTGAGAGTGTACCCCCAGTAAGCCCTAGCCCTAAGTTAGCTCTGAATTCCAGAGTGGCTCTGCGAGGCCTTGGAGGGACGGCTAGACATGCAGCATTCGTCTGTGGTGATTGACCAGAAGATGAGCAGCAACGATGCGCTCCGGTTTTCCAACTGGCAGGTTGCAAGGTCTCTACAAGGTTTTGGGCTTTGGGCTGATGATGTCTGATAAGCTTGCGGACTTCTGGATGTGTGATGTTAAAGCTTGACAAGCACGGAACCTGCGCACTAGCTGTGGCACGTTTGCTGTTTCCGCTGGCAAGTTGGACGGATGGACGGCGAGTGTATCTAGTAGCCCTAGTAACCTAGTGCCCTAAGCCTTAGAGAACCCGAAACACTAAGTGCCAGGCATGATATCTCAGGCTTGCCTGGGGAAGCAAAGTCCTTCAAATGTGTTTTCTGTGCCAGCAACTTACACCCGCTAGAGTCAGGTTGAGGTCTAAGCGTCACCTCTTGGTCGGCTAAGGTCGAGCCGACGAAGGAGAACGTCCTCAAGGCCTTAGCCCCGAACCCAAAAGCGCCCAGAACTCCTCAATATAGAATAGGGGCCTTCATAAGTAGAATAGGGCTTGGGGGTATATTATACTATATAGTTATAGTAAGGAACCTCCAAAATAGTATTGGTATTTATTTAGGCCCCTACATGAAACCCTAAGCACCTACACCCTGAATTCTGATTCTTGCGCCTGGATTGGGCAGACGGAAGAAGGTGTTACACAGAAAGTACTTAACTCCAAACCCCTACACTTAAACTCTCGGAAATGTTGATCTGGCAGTGCCACATGTGGGATGCCAAAACATCATGCTAGCCTGTGGGGCATTGGGAGTGGATGGTACGGACTTCAACAACTTACGGCTCAAGAAAGGCTTGCAGAGCTTGTGTCATTGCAACAGGTAAGCAAGAGTTGGGCTTGTCACCGTCCTTTGAAGTGTGGGTTTTCTGCCGGGGCCTGCGCGCATCAAAGACACGTAGCCTGGGGTCTAGACTTTCGGTAACAGAGACACGAATGGAACAACTATCAGGCGACAGGTCCGAATTTGCCGAAGCTGGCACCCTGAAGCCTTGAGCATCTGCCCGTGAACCGACCGCACTATTCTGTCCCTGTACTGTTCAAGTTCGTAATGCAGCGCATTGAATCAGACTGCTGTACTCCATTAGTCTCAGACTTTGTACCCTGCATTGCGGGCTTCGTCCTAGCTAGGTGGGAGGCAAAAAGTCAGACAGCTTGCTCAAATTGCATGGAGACTAGCTTGATTCCCAAAACTGAAGCCGGAGACTGAACCATCTAAGTTCCGAACGACACGTGGGCCGAGTCGGAAACAGACTAAACCCGAAACCCTAAACCCTAACCTGTAGATTGCAGGAGGAGCCGGTGATGAACAAGAGATCGTCAGTCACAGAGGCGTCAGTCGAAGGGGAGCCTTGCCTTTCCAGCATTGCCAGAAGTGATGTCGATAGTTCTCTAAAGTAGGGTCCCTCTCTAGTTTCCCAAGATAGCACGGCACCCTTATAGAAGGGCCTTAAAAGGATTTAGAGAACTACCGTGCGTATCTCTCTCTATATTTATGTGTGTATATGTATGTATATATATATATATATATGTAGAGTATAGAGTTATTTCCTTATTTACATTTACACACACACACACATATATATATATATATGTATATACATGTATATATATATATATATATATGTATGTTTGTGGTTTATCGCAAGGGGTGTCGGGCAATCCCGAAACCAATGCCGGTGGCAAAACCAGATATCAGAAAGGTTGCCCTGCTTCTGGGGCTGATCATGCACTGAATAGGAAACTTAAAAATAGCAGCATGCCTTTCTCCAGGTTCCTCATAGAAACACTATAACATACCCCCCCAAACTGTATCATTATGAAGGCCTTTAGATCTTGCTTAGAGGCTCTTGACTTGCATGCCATGCCGTCTCGCGCATGCGCATTGCCTGGATGTAGAGAGAAGCCGGGGCAAGAGCAAATAGGCGCGACTTCAGACGAAGAGTTTCTTTGAACAACCAGAAGAATAGGAAGAACACGAACAATAATGAAAATGATAAGAATGGTAGTAATGATAATCATTACAACAGTAACCCCGCCGTGTGAGAGAATGGATTCAGCTCCATGCCCTTGCCGAGCGGGACCCTCAATAATGATATATCAATGTCAGGCAGAGAGTCACACAGATCTCTCTCGCGTCATCTCTGCACTGCCCTGCTTCATAAATCGGATGATATCGACTGGATGCAACGGCAGAGAGAGGGGCAGGGAGATGGCTTCAAACACCATATGCCTCCACGGAGGTATACGGGTTTAGTGATCGTGACAGGATGTGCCGTATTCCTGAAACAATATGAGTCAAGCTCAGCTGAGGAGACGTCAACAGAGGTCTACTTCGAGGAAAGCGCTTGGAGTATCCCAGTCTTGGCTGGCATAATTGATGCCAACGTCGGCCTGTTCGATCGAATCTTCGCTGGGCTCTTGGTTCTGCTCAACTTCTTCATGCAGGGTGCCTTTTCCTGGGTCCTCTTGACTGATGCCTTCATTGGTGAGGCGTGGTTTCGGGTTCCAGGTTTAGGTTCAGGGATTTCGTTGTGGTTCAGAGAGCTTCAGATTCAGAACTGATTTTCCGATTGTTCTGGGTGCTTCTGACAAATGCTTTTTAATCGGTGAGGCGTTCGAAACCCGAGTCGAGAGTGCGAAGATCTGGAGGACCAGCATTGCCCACGATTTCAAGTACCTCTGGCTCCAATCACCTACTTTTTTCAGTGTTGTTCCTCAAATCTACGGGTCATGACCTACACCCGATACCGTTCTGGGCTGCAGGTATCTTGACCTGGCTGACACCAGTTTGGTGTCCCGAGTTTGTACAGGCGACGGTGCTTTGATCTTGTCCACGACGCAGGCAACCTTGATAGAACAGATACTTAGTAGCTGAATGAGTACATGTTACACTTTTTTGGATAATATTAACTATCCCTTAAAGAACTGAAAGTGTACACTTTGTGCCGCTTATGAACTCAGCAAGCAAGGATAAACAGCTTCCTCGGCCTCCAGAAATCACAACTTGATCACTCCATGTTTCAGCCGGGCATAATGCTGGGCATGATATGTATTATCTTGTGGACGCTCTGCGTCTACAAGGACCGCGGCAGATTGTGCAATTGTGCAAAGCTTTTGCTTTTGTTCAGGGTTTGGTCGAGTCCGAAGCTTGATACATAGCACAGTGTCCGCCGTGTCGTCGAGTCATTATGCATACCCACCCCATGCCCGAAACTTTGTTTATCTATCTATAGCCCGCAACCCCGAAGGGCTGAGCTAGACCTCTGGATGCAAGGGGGGAGAGAGAGAGAGAGAGAGAGAGAAACTTTTTACACCTGGTCCGTGAGCCCGACAAAGACTGGGGGGCCCATGTGGCCAGGGGGCGTGACAAGCTCCTTTGCCCCTGTGGAAGAAGAAAGAATCCCAAACTCGAAAGTATGGAGGAGTTCCGACGGATTTGGTTGCAGATGGAGGCTGCTTGGACGATTCCGAAGACGCGCAGATCCGTTTTCCGAGACCATGCCTTCGTCTACATGTCTTGGGGACGATTTTGCGCCCTGTTGGTTACGTATCTCGCACGTGCGATCATTGCTTCTGTCCTCTTGGCAGCTGGAATACTGTGGCTTGCTCGGACCACATCGATTGAAGAGCTGATGTTGAACGCCGTGGCCCTGAATGCCATCCTCGATGTAGATGAGTTCTTGTTCGCAGGCATGACACCTATCAAGATCCAACATGCCATACAGAGCTTGAAGCCCATCAGGGTAAAGTACAGCCGTCATCGCAGTCAGTTTGAATCCATGGTGCACTTCGTGACTTTGTCGATTCTGGTGCTCACGTCTTACTATCTCTTGTTGGGGCCTTTGGGCGACACCATGCTCGCAGTCAAGAATGAGCTTTGTGGAGGAAACCAGGCCTTCGTCGTTGCATTTAATTCCGAGACACAGCAAACCTTCGGGCTGAGAACGTCGGAGACACGTGACTATGAGTCCCTTTCGGCGAGTGAGATTGCAGTGCAGAGCCACAAGGCCACGTCGCCTGAGACCACACCCGGTTCAGGGCCGGCGTATCTTACATTTTCTGCGAATAAAGACTTGTTTGAGGCGGACAGGACGAGGACAATGGCTGCGGAGTCAGAACTCACACCCTTCTGCATAGAGATGCTCACGGATCCAGCGAATCCGCTTTTCACCGATCCCTCCATGCAGGCAATGACTCAAGTGCGTATCGATATTGCTGCCCTCAGTGCCGGACGGCCAGATGCCAACGGCTGTGGGGATCTCGGCGACCTGTGCCTCATCCTTGGTCCTTAGACATAGGGAACAAACGGTCTGTTCGCCAGATTACATTCAACCTCGGTCATCAGTTCGTCAGTTACCTCGTGGTGAGCACTTCAAGTTCAAAGTCATACATTTGTGAAGACCGGGTGGGGGGCTACAGTCACTGGAAAGACAAAGGGGTTATTGTTGACAGCCTCTAGCAACAACAAAGCTTAGTAACTACAATTATTCGGCCTGCCCTATTTGGGTTGGCAGAATTTTAAGCCGGACTCAAATCTTCAACGCCCTGCGCTTTTAACTCTGAGGTGTGACACTTTTGATGCCCGCTTGGTGAGATTGACGTGCGGCACTACCTGCGGATGTTTAAACCCGTCGCTTGGATCAGGATGTGCTTGCTTGAGGGTTCGTGGTTGAGCTTACGGATGACCAGGTTTTTTTATATAAGAGTCGGAACATTTGGCAGGAGCTTTCCCTTATCGTCCCTTGCCTAGTTATTCTTGAATATACTACGTTCAAACCTTATTTTAATTTGTCAGGCCCTACATATTGACGAAGGAGAGTTTGACGATTCCTTGTAAAAGAATGCTGCACGATAAGCTTTTTTTGCTTAGTTCCTCAGGCGAAGTCTTTCCTCTCGCAGAACCCAAGCCGGGAAAGCTCCGAAGCCGCGGTTATGCTCAGGTACAGTTCCGCTTGGTTCAAGGTGGAAGCTCAAGGCTGCGCCACCGCCTGCCTCAATGTTGCTTCGCCAATGACATGCTAGGGTCTTTCGTATGCGGGTTTTAACCAAAATCGCACCCCATATGAGCACATATGTGCAGGCAGAGAGAGAGAGAGAGAGAGAGCCTCGACGGTCCCCTATGCCCTGTGGAAGAAGAGAGAGAGAGAGAGAGAGAGAGAAAGAGCGAGATAGACACACATAACAACACGTACAGACACACACACACACACACGCACACCTACACACACACACACGTATATGTACATAGGGTGTATATACATGTGTATATATATATAAGCATAAATTAAAAGACAAATTATGAAATAGCTAAATCAATACATAAAGGAATAAATAAATAGATAAGTGTGTGTATATATATATATATATATTATGTATATATATATATATATGTATATATATATATATATGTTTGCTTCTCTACATATTGCTCATATATACATGATTGTATGCACACGACTGCTACAACATGCGTAGGTACATGACACCAAAAACTGGAGCACATATAACAATGGGGAGACACTGTCCGAAGCCCTAAACCCTAAACCGGCTTCGCTTCCGGTTTAGGAGTTTGGGGTTCAGGGCTATCCATAGACGTTAGAGAGCGCTGCGGGCGCATGAGCCCAAAGCAAACATAGCACCACACAGCGAGCGTAGGGCCTGGCTGCATGAGGGTTTAGGGCAAAAGGGTTTAGGGGCATGACGATCATGATGCTTTAAGGTTTTACCCAACATGTAGAGCAGGTGCGGGGAACATGTCGCCACGAACCCACAGGAAGTCTCTCTTAGTAGTATGGCTGGTACTCGTACTCCAAAAACCGTGCCTTCTACAATTGTGAATGTGAACATCAACATGTTTCCCATAATGAAAAATGATATTGCCGGCAGTACAAAACCGACATGTACGTAACAGTGCGGTTCATGCTTTCATACAGCAAAAGAAACTTGCAGATTTTCCGCGCGCTAGTGTCGTCCTTAATGAACGTTGCAAATCTTGCCTAGCTTTGTTCGTTTTGCATTGTGACCAATGTTGACCATGTTTCCAGCATCACGGACACTGCACGAATATACAGTTGCGCTAGTCGCGTAGCTACATTTACGAAGGATGCAACGACTTCTTGCATTTTACCGTACAACACATCCATATGATGGAATGCACGTGTGCATAGCCAGCAGTGCCAACGGCACCAACTTAAAGAGTTATCGGTTGCTAGCACAACTAGTATTCCTTAAACAGCCAAAATTGCAAAGCTTGCTTGCACGGCTGCTTTGCATAGTGTTGCTGGTCTCAACCATACCGATGCCACTAGCAACAATTATGCAATAGTATAATGCCTACACCGTCTCAGAAGTGTTCTGTATTTCGACAGATGCACTCATGAGACTACGTATCAGTGCTGTCCATTTAATGGTTCATGAGGACTAGCCAAGTTCACATACAGGGCTCGCACGGTTGAGGACTAAAACCTTTGTCTCACGTGTCTTGCACATTGACTGTCGCTGTATGCATCTGTGTGGCTGTGTTAGTTCACCTTCTTGTCACACGCAGTGACAACTGTCATATTGTTGTTTCTACGATCGCTAGTTTTAAGAATAGCATTGAGCGCATCCGCTGTATGCACATGTTGCCTGATGTTTGTTCGTGATCTCGAAGCTGTGAATTATCAACTCTGTCTTCCAGTCGTGCTATTGAGAGTAGTTGTGCCACTTGATGTTATTCAAATCATTAGTGATCATAAGAAGCTCAGAACATTCATATCGGTAGTGATGTGGGGACACATCTGGAATTGCACAACCTCAGAAAAAAATAAGCACTCATGCAATCAGTCATGCTAGCGACATTGTTTTGTCATTGGTTTTCGTCACCTTCAGGTCTTTCCGATCATACCGGCTTTAAGCCATGGCTTCAGTTTTCCAGCCTATAGCTAGAATAGAAGGAAGCATAGCGTGTCAACATTTCTGGGCCGTATTATGAACACGTGCTTACAATTGCTGAAGTTGGCCATGCTTGTTGGCTTACCGGCAGTAGTTCTAGTGTTCGTCGTCGTTGGGGTTGTCGCCTTTGTCGTCGTGGCAGCACAATTCTGCAAGTAGGTTCACAGCTCAACTATCTCAAAGCCATAACTCGAGCGAGTAAATACAACAGCTGTTGTGATTCCAGAGTTCGAAACATCACATACTGCTGCGAAGCACCACAACATGCAAGGTTTTGGAAGCTTTGCACTCCGAAATTCCCAAATTTCTAAAACGTCGAACAAGCGCGACCAAGAAATAGAATTCCAAAGTTGCCCGAAAATCAGACTTTCCGAAATGTGCTTCACTGCTTTTTGAGATTGTTGGACAATGATAGCACCAAGTTTTTCCATTAGCAGATTCTGGTCCATGCGAGGCTAGCTTCTGTAAGGGCAAAATCACAGACACGCTTACACACGGACTTACCTAAACCAAAGAAACACATGTGCACATTTGTGGGTTATAATATATGTATATACATATATATACATAACACAGGCATACATGGATATGCATGATATGTATATCTGCACATTTTTCCTTTTACTGGAAGGTTCGCATTTATTTTTACCATATTAACATGCACATATGTGTGTAGACAAACGCTCAGATATGGATGGAGTATGTATGCACACATGCACGCACGCGTGCGGGCGCGCGTGTGTGTTTGTGTGTGGGCTTGCATATTGTCATGTTTCTTATATCTCTTTCACTGGTCGTTGACTCTTTTGTGTTTCTGTTTTTTGTTTTAGACTAGATGTTAATGGAAAGAGCGCAGCAAAAGTAATGCCTCATGTTTGGGTGTGCATGTGTAGTTGCATGTACTTGTTCAGCAAAGCCAAGGTTGCCGAGATGAGGTTGCAAAACAGTACCTGCCAGGACCGGCCTCCAGATGACAACTGGAGAAAGTTCTGGACACTTTACCCTTCAGTTCTTTCGTCGTTCTATGGGCGTGACATCACAGGAACTAGCTTCTACGCAGGCATCACACAGACCGTTAATGCGATGATTTCTGGTGGTTGCCCGGTTCTTGCTCAGTCGCCACTCGAGTTGATGACACAAGCTTCTTGGTGCCAGGGCATGCCATCCTTGTTCCGTGGGCTCGCTACGGTGTGCCCGCAAACATGTGGCTGCAATCTTGCCGCCGGAGAGATTCCCAGCTATTGTCCATCCAGCTGCGCAAGGGCTGGCAACAGCTCTTCGTGAAGATGCACGTGCTACTGGCATTGAAGGCCATGGTAGCTTCGCAGATGTGTTTCACGCAGGCAGCCGGCACACGTCGTTTTGCTGCGTAATAAGTAATGACGACCAGGCCAACAGGTGCCATGTGGTGCTTTCTTCTTGCAGCGGTGTCATGTGGCATGATAAGAAGATACGAAACGATATGCGATCCGGTTTCTCAGGGAGCCTGGCTAAAAGGTCGATGGCAAGCCGAGCTGCAAGCGGCGACACGTGGCACCTGAGCCACGACATCCCCAAAACCGGAAACCGGACCGTCAGACCTCACCTGGCTTGTCCGAACTGTGAGAGAGTAAACGGCGTAAACCAGCGGTCCTGTTCATGGCCAGGGAGCCCGTTACCCCTTCATTAATGAATAGAGCTTAAATCTCAATGTGAAGCCCTTTACTTTATTTTTTATTAGTGTACATTCCTTAATTAAGGGGTATTGGGCTCTGTGGGTGGCATGAATGACCGCCATGTCACTTTGGGTTCGAGATGTCCAACTGACAGTAGCCAATATCAGCAAAACCTGCAGGATCTAACACACTGTGTGCTCACGACAGACAAAACCTCTTTATCTTCTACTTGCCAGTTCCGCTACCAGAGTATATGCCGCTACGACTTGCTACTGTAGCTGCAAGACGTCTGCAAGCAGTGAAATCTCCTGGTCAAGAATGGTAACAACTCAGCAGTCAACAGCACATGCCTCAGTAGCGGTGGCACCGATATCGGGGGGCGCCTGGTGGCATTGGTGGTATTGGTTTGTACTGGTGGTGGCGGTCACTGTCGTTATTGCTGGAGGTAAGCAGGACAGGAGGTGGACAGGCAGGCAGCCAGGTAGGTTGTTGCTAGGTCTGCTAGGTGAGTGGGTTGGTCAGTATGCGCACTATACGCCGTAGTGAGTGCCGAAAACTCATGCGTTCCATGATTGAGGAACCCCTCAGCATGCCGTGGTTTCAGTCGAAAGCATAGCCGAAGGAAGCTTCTTCGATTAGCTGTAGCATTGGCACAAGCCAGTGTGGCTCCAGAATCCAAGTGTGCCACGCCAGCAGCGTGTTCTCCCGGTCGATATTCGGATGAGGGGTGTGGCACGCAGAACAGTGTGGAGGAGGTGCATCATGCCCAGCAGGTTCCCCAGACAACCTTTCTGCAGCTGCAGGACGAGCTTCACACTGAGGTTTCGCGCATGCATGCTTGGCTGCAGCGAGAAATGCAGTCCGATTTGGCACGTATCGCAAGGCTGGAGATGGTGGCCAAGATGAGACTCGAGAAGCCACTGCCCAGTGCAGACTCCGAGTGTGAGGACATGGGCAGCCAAAGAAATGCAGCGAGCCCTCCTTCGATGCGGTCAATCTCCAGGTTGCTCCGGACGGCGGCATTACCGATCCACAGCCCACCGCAACTGATGACTTTCTGGGGGAAGTGTCCGAGGTCCACTTCGAAGAAAGCGTTTGGAGCATTCCTATGGTCCTTGGTCTTGTTGATGCCGGTGGCTTTGATAGGCTCTTTGCCGGCATCCTGGTCATCTTGAACTTGGTCATGCAGGCGGCTTTTTCATGGGTTCTTTTGACGGCTACTTAACGAACACAGCAACCTGTTTCGAAGCAGCTGTCGCTTTTCCCCCAAGGTACTAGCTAGTTCCCGCAAGCGAAGTTGTGTGATGCCATACTACAACCGTGCTGGACTTCCATTATCTCTGTTTGATGCGCCGTGTAAACCGAGACTGCAGCAGTGGAGCAATTTCCCCACACACCGTTGGTCGAGTGAACTCAGCGATGATGCTAGGCTTCTGCAGCACCAACAACGGCAGACTGTACGTGCTGCAAGCTCATCTCGTGCAGTGTTTCAATTGTTGACATCCATGTCATCGTTTGTGTGTGTGTGTGTGTGTCTGCGTGTTGAAGTTGTCTTTTAATGGGAAAGGGGTTGTTGTATGGTTGGCAGTTCCGCTCTGTTGCGCGGTTGCACAGCTTCAAGAACGCCGGGGAAGGGCAAGAAGTACAAGAGTACAGCAAACCGACACGTAATCTGCACCGGTCCGGTGGCAGTTGCAGCCAAGCCACTGAAAGTCATAAGGGAGACGACCTTAGAGAAAGAGGCGAGTCACTAGACAACTAAGGATGCATTCGTTGGCAAGCATTTCGACGGCAATGTCGAAACTGCTAAAGCTTGGCGGACTAGTGTGGCGCATGACTACAAGTACATGGACCTGGCCCAGACAAGCTTGGTGTCAAGAGTCTGCTCTGGAGATGGCTCATTGATCTTATCCACAAACCAGGCCACCTTGGTGGATCACATCAACAGCTTCCTCGGTCTGAAGGAGATGGAGTTCGCACACCCAGCTTTTCAGCCAGGTGTTCTCCTGTGTATGCTGTGCATCATTCTATGGAGCCTGTGCGTCTACAAGGACTGCGCAAGTTCTTGTACACATGCTCTCCGAGGCCATTACAACCTTGTACATGAACCAGCCATTGCAATCCTTTTTGTCGATCACTCCAAAAACGAGGGTAGTTGTGCCCAGTATTATTGTCAGTGACTATATACCAGCCTGTAATGTAAGTAAGGTATAAAACAACACGAGATACTTACCATGGCATAGGCTAACATGACCATAGTGTAACATCCGCCGTACACGTGTTTATCAATCTCCTTCATTGGTTGTTGGTATGTGTATACATACAGGCATACATACACACATACATACATGCTCACATACATGCATACATACTGTACATGCATACACACATGTACATGGGCGTTTCAGATTCATTCCTGTCTGGACATGGCATGCACCTGTACATAGGTGCTTGGCATATTCGATTCCAGGAGGCTCACTTCAACTTTTCCGGTTTCGATGTGGGCTCACTTTAGTTTTGCCACTCCTGGCTGATCATTTGGCAGGCAAACACCCGGTTTATGTACGTAACTACTTGTTGTTCATGTCAACGCTTATATAGTGGTTCCTGTTCTTTGTTATTCAAGTGTTCATGTTGGCCCATGCATCCATGCATGTAGGTACAATTCCATATGTATGCATATATATATATACAGCTTAATTTTTGTACATATATATATATATATATACATACGTTCGCATGCACACGCTTACATACAGATACATGGTCATGCGCGGCTACACCCAAGCATGTACATGTATCCGTACATATGCAAAAAGCATATATACTGCGTATACATGTACAGACAGACACATACAAACAAATACATGCCATACATACACAGATGCATACATACATAGGTAGATACACATACCTACATACATACATACACACATATACATACATACATACATACATACATACATACATACATACATACATACATACATCCGTACAGACATGCAGGCATCTAGCCACACCTACCAATACGTACATGAGTGCATGGTATAGGTGCATGGAGGTTCAGTGTCCGTCGGTGATGCGTGCTTTCGTAGGTCATCACCGCCTGCATGTGGGCTCTGTAGGAGTTCCGCACGATTTGGCTGCAGCTGGAGGCCGCACTTGGAGTTCCCAAATCTCGCGCAACCCTTTTTCGTGCCAATTCTTTCGAAAGCCTTTCGTTTGGGTATTCTTCTGATGACGCATGTCGTGCGAGTAGCCATTGCTTCTGTTTTGCTTTTCGGTGGGATTCTCTGGCTGGCCCGAACAACGTCAATTGAAGAATTGATGTTGAATGCTGTTGCCCTGAACTCTATTTTGGACGTTGACGAGTTTTTCCTTCGCTGGTATGGCACCCATCAAGATTCAGCGTGCCATACAGAACTTGACGCCAATCAGTATTAGCTACAGTCGGTGTCGCAGTCAGCTGGAGTCGTTCGTGCATTTCGGTGCACTGCTGAGTCTCATCCTTTCATCCTATTTTTTCCTGCTGGCACCCTTGAGCGATGCCATGCTGACCGTCAAGACCGAGCTTTGCGGAGGCATCCAGCGGTTTGTGGCTTCTTACAATGCAGATACACAGATTACCGTTGGACTTGTCACAGCTGATTCCCACGACGCACGCAACTTTTCTTACAGTCAGACGGTGATCCAGGCACACAAAGATTCACTGCCAGGGGCTACCTCCGAACTAGTCAGGTTTGCTGCCAACCATGACATGTTTCAGCAAGACATGGCGCGCAACATGCAAGAAGAGGCCGCGCGGTATTCGAGCTGTTTTGAACTGGATGTGCTGAAAGAGGATTCCCCTTACCGCACAGACCCAGCCATGCAACCTTTGGGTGCCTTGCTGGTAAACTCTGCCGCCGGCGCTCTGGGACGTGCCGGTGCACGAGGCTGTCAAGAACTGAAGGACAAATGCGACGATCCAGACGGGCGTTTGTTGCGGATGATCTGCGGTGAGACGTGTGGTTGTTTAGAGCCTTTCAGTTCTCCGTGGTACAAAGTTCCAGCACAAGGTTGTGCGCCTGCTTGCCTTGAACTTGGACAGCCGAAGTTGCAGAACCGTTCTTGCCAGGATATGCCTGTGGACGATACATGGCGTGCCTTCTGGGCTCAATATCCGGAGGTTTTGTCCCATTACTTTGGACATCCAGTGGAGACCGTTCAGGCATTCGCTCTGGTGAACCAAACTCTGCAGGCCTTGGCAATGGGTGGATGCCCAGTTCTGTTGCAGTTTCCCGTAGACTACATGTCTGGCAATGTTTGGTGCGAGGGAATGCCCGAACTGGTCCGTCCATTGGCTTCTATATGCCCGCAGACATGCGGCTGCGACCAGCCATCGTCGAAGATTTCCCAGCATTGCCCTCCAAGCTGCAGCATAACTCGAAGCAACGTGTCTGGTTCCGTGTCACCTTCATAATCTGTCCTTGCATGCCCAGTTACCTAGACAGTTGGTTATTGTACTACGGGTAATGTACATGATATATTATATAGAGTTCAGGGAACAGTCACCTGCCGTGTAGGTAACGGACTTCATGGTCTGTGGCCTTATCGAGGAGATCTGCAGAGCAGGTTTCATGCTTCACACGGGTCGTTAAGGCGACTGCGCCCGGAAGAAAGCCATTGGTAGCACTACGGGCAGCACGAACACTGTTACCAATGAAGTAGGTCATGAGGAAACAAAGTAATGTGTGGTCCGAATTAATGTGGGGGGTCCCCCCCCCCTTACCCCCAACAAAATGTTTGGTCCGGAATAGTGTGGAACCGGGGGTGCTTCTGGGTGGCTGAGATTAAGTTAGAAGGGAATTGGGGGAGCCGAGGGGTTTGGGGGCTGGCTCAGGATTTGGGTGGCTTTGATTAAGTTAGAAGGGAAGGGGTGCTCTGCGGATGCGCGGCTGCCCGGGGGTTG